CTGAGGCCGAGAGCTTACTCTAATGAGCACAGAGAAGGGACCAGCTCTTTTGATTTCTTCTCTACTGCATGGATGCAGGATGCACACTTCTAGAATGCTATTCCTTTCTCCTTTTCAAGTTGACAGAGTACTCCACGCATTTTGAGTGTTTGTATGTACCATAATTACTCAATTCCAGAATGAGATTTTTTCCCCTCATTCAACATGGAGGTGGGGGAAGGAGAAACTTTGTCTTGTCAGAGGTTGGGGGGGCATCTTTGTTGAGGGAGTGGTTAGGAGTGTCAGGCTGTGGAGATGAGTTGTCCTGGGGTGTGGGAAGCATGGGAACACCAGGAGGATGGGGCAGGGAGCAGGAATCATAGTTTCATAGTTTTAGGGTCGGAAGGGACCTAATAGATCTTCTAGCCCGACCCCCCGCCAGGGCGGGAGAACAACCCAAAAACACAAACAAAACCACTCACCCTAAAAACAAAAACGGGACTCAAATGAGTCCAGCCAGGTAGGTATCCAGCCTCTTCTTAAAGATCCCCAGGGTAGGGGCCAGCACCACCTCCCTTGGAAGTTGGTTCCAGCTCCTAGCCGCCCTAACTGTGAAGTAGTTTTTTCGGATGTCCAATCTGTACCTCCTCTCCATCGACTTGTGCCCATTACTCCTTGTTATGCCAGCGGGGGCTAGGGGAAACAGCGTCTCCCCCAAGCCCTTCTGGTTCCCCCTAGTGAGTTTATAGACGGTCACCAGGTCCCCCCTCAGCCTTCTCTTGTGGAGGCTGAATAGGTTCAGGTCCCGCAGTCTCTCCCTGTAGGGTCTGCCCTGTTGTCCCCGGATCATGCGGGTGGCCCTCCTCTGGACCCTCTCCATATTGTCCACATCCCTCCTGAAATGGGGCGCACAGAACTGGACACAATACTCCAGCTGCGGCCTTCCTTGGCTAAGCCTGGCAATGTGTGTTGTCACTCACATAAGCCCAGCAGACTCAACTGTCCCCCGTCCCCTGTGGCAAGCCCCTTCCTTTAAGAGCCAGTGAGCAGGCTGCCTGTCTCTCTAGGCTCTGGTGTGCTGTCAGGGAATGCCTCAGCCATTATCCAGTCTATTAACATGTATTCCTTAGGCACTGGGCTGCATTGTCATTTGACACAGAACTGAGTCAGGCCCCACTGTCTTCTAGTGTGTTTCTCAACCCATGGGTCACCACCCAAAAGTGGGTTGCAAGAATATTTCAAAGGGTCATGAGCTGTAGCAGGGTAGAGGGATCGCAGGAAGGCACCTGCCCCTTCCAATGGAGGAAGGGGGTAGGGGAGAACTGAATGGCGAGACTGACGGCACTGGAGTGCCCATGCTTGGAGGGGTAGGGCAGCTGGGAGACACTGCTCAGGGGTGGGAGGGGCCATGACCAGACTGCCTGGTGCAGCAGAGCAGCCCCAGCTCAGGGCAAGGTGGGTGCCACAGGCCTCTCCTCCCTCCAGCCTGTGCTGAGGCTGGACTTGCTCCGTTGCTGCCTGCATGAGTCAGAGCCACTGCAGCCACCATGCTGCAGCCCAAGTGGGATGGGGAAGCTGGGGGCCCCTCTGGCAGGGCTGGGGGGGGCAGGGGGCTGCGGGTTGGGAGCGAGGGACACCGAGGGGGCAGGGGACTGGGGGTCGGGCACCAGCGGGGCCAGGGGGTGTGGGTCAGGACAGGCCATGGATCTTTCTAAATGGGTCCCAGTTGGGAAAAGGTTGAGAACCACTTTTCTAGGGAATTTTCCCCCTACAGGGAGGTAGTGCCTCCCCCTGAAAACCCCCCAGCACATATTTACTGCCCTGAGGTGAATGGAACTATTCGGGCACTAAAACTCATGCATATGCGTGTGCTGTTTGGAAGATCTAGGTGAAAAAACATTGAATGTTGTTTCTGCGAAGCCTGGCAAAAAAGCACCCATAGTTGTGAGATTGGTTCATTTTAGGTTTCTAAAAGAAATTAAATGTTCTGGAGACCGGATTACAGAGCTGAGCAGGACTAAGACCTCTAAATTAGCTGTTTGCTTTACCTTTGCCCAGTGGCCATGCAAGTGGGGACAGAGTGGATTTCAAAAGAGATTGCAGTTCTTCTGGATTACCCTAAAGGGACAGACATTCAAAAAGTCAGAGTCTGAATTGATACAATCTTTGCAGGTTAGTCTAACCTGCCTAGGTTGAATCAGTCTGAACACAGATACCTCTCGGGTAAACTAGCATACCACATGCCTAAGGTCCATGGGGCTGGAGTCCATGCTGTGGGAGGGAGGGGGAAAGCAGTGGTGGGGTGGGGGTAGGGGTGGGGGAAGCAAGACAGACCCTGCTGTGCCTGCAGTTTCCACTGGAGCTCTGGCTAGGGAGCAGAGGGGCAGGGCCAGCCCTGTTCTGTGGAGCAGACAGCCCAGCCCAGGGCTGCAAAGCAAACCAGGGGGACTCTTGTTTAACTTAAATCAGGAAGGGGTCTGGAACAGACACTGCATAAATTAGTTTGACCCAAATCAGTTAAGTTTGATATTACATTCAACCAGGTTTATCTTAAATAGGTATCAGCCATTTTGAAACAGGTTTATGTTCACTGAACTTATGTTCTGTTACAGGTTTAAACCAGTTTTGGACCACTCAAAATGGTTTATGTGTAATGTCTGTCCCTAGCCTAATTGGTGCATCTTTCTTATCTGCATTCTGTATAGACATCAGTATAGTTTGTACTAATATAGCCAAATAAAACTATACAATATTGAAGATAGATTAATTGCTATGAAGAGGGGGAGAACAAAGTGCATTTTACCATAAACAATCTACTTGTAAACACTGACAGGCTTAGAAAATATTTCATTACTTTCTAGCTTATGCATTGATTGGTGCTAATTACAGTTGTTTGCACTACACTGTTTTTTTGGAACAAAAGTCAATAAAAGGAAGTCATCTGGACTGGAAATTAGGAAAATGCTGCTAACCATTAAAAGCACATCAATAAAATAAACAAATCCTGCAGTTAGGGCACATTAAAGAAAATATAAACAAGTACTGGAAATAACTTGCAGTCTTATTAGAAGTAAATCCTTACTGATGCAACAGTTTAAATTCAAAAGATAGATGACTTCTCAATTTAGCTCCTAGATATAGATATAGGTATATATGCCATAGCTTATAAAATCAGGACTTGTACCCCTGAGAGCAGTATCACTTTACAAGGCTTTAATGAATGAGTTGTTACTTTAAAAATAGGCAAAATCCTGCTGGTGATTTTGCTGGTTTGCCAGTAGAAGAGGGTATATAATGTTGCATAGAAAACAAATCTCTGAACTCACAGAATGTTGATCTCTTAATTTTTGTTTCCTCATTGCACATCAGGAATCAAGAGGGACCTTTCAAGGTTTTATGTCTGCACGTCTCTGTATGTGTTTGTTTAAAAAAGAGAAGAAAAAATAAAGCAGAGGCTATTACCCAAGCCTACCAATTGCTCAGTGTCAAGGCACTCATTTGAAATGTGGAAGATCCAGATTCAAGTCTTTTGGTTGCCTGATTCAGATGAAGGATTTGAACCTGGTGTTTCATACCATGCTGTAGCAAGGAAGTTTGGCACCTGGGGCAAGGCCGCAGCACCAGTCTGCCCTTGCTCCATGCGCAGATCCAGAGGGGCACATACCCCACAATGCTTGCCTGGAGGTGCACGCAGCAGTGGGAGCCGCACCCCCCAGGATGAGCCAGTTGTGGCTGTGCCCCACCTTGGCTGGGCAGTTCCTGCCCCAGCCCCCCTCCTTCCTCACTGGGGCTGCACTCCCATTGTCCCTTCCCTTCCCCCACAACAGACTCACCAGCCAGACGGTACTCTGTAAGCTGCCAACCTGGCTGCGTGCATGCTGTGGCTGTGCACATGCACATAGCATTTATCAGTCACATCAGCCAAAATTTTTTGAAATATTTATAACAAAATATGGACTTGTGACTCGCTTGTTGGTGGCCCTTCACTTTGGAGTCCAGGGTGGTTGCCCCACTTGTCCCCCCTTCTACCCCCTCTCCCCCCCCTGCTATGATACTGCTTTCACATAGAAGAGTGCCCTGATCAGCAAGGTTTTCTGGGATGTAGTGTAACTGTGGTTTCTACCAGGAATTTCACCTCTGAGCATAGAAATCTTCCAATCAAATTTGGTATGTTCTCATGTAAAGTTTGCTTTTAGTGAATCAGCATTTTCTGATGCAGTCAAACAATTCCTGGTTGTTCTTTTCATGTGATGTGGGCTGTCTCTTTCCATAGCTCACAGGGCTCCGCTGGTGGCTCTCCACACATCACTATGACATATACTGTGGTATATGATGTCATGAATTGATGTAAATGGGACATGGTAAAGCCTCAAACAGGCAGCTGTACACATAGTCATTGGTAGAAAGGCTACTGTAGAAAGAAATATATGAGCATTTCTCTGCTCAGAGTTTGGAAGCACTCACTACTTTACCATTACATCAAGATGTTCCACTGAGAGAGAGACTGAACACGGTTCTTCCCTCTCACTGGTTTTTTAGCTCCATTGATTTTAATGGACTTCTGTTTTCAATGATGGCAAAAAAAAGTAGTCAGGCCCATGTTGGTCTGCAGTGCATTACTTTCACCAGATGTGTATCCAACTGTGTTCCAGCTGGATACTGTGTGGGTGTTTTTTGGTCGCACAGGATTTGCATTATACTGTGCCTACACTATAAATATTAAGTTATTTCTGTTTTATTTTAGAAAAACAAAGAGTGACTTTACCACTTTAATTGCATCTACAAGTTTCATAATTGTTTGAAAGTTTAGTTGGAACATATGGTACCTGAAGAAAGTTACAGTACATTTCTTCTGATCATCTCCACTACTGGAGTAAAATATAATGATAGCTTTTATTGTATAATCATAAGCAGAAAACTGTGTGTTCTTTTAGATTAAACATTTGTTATATTTACTGTAAAAACACATTTTTACAAGGAATGTTTCTCAAATTGCTTTTTAAAATCTGCTTTGTTTTTAGGCATTGCTATTTCTGATGAACTGGATAAGGTAAGAGAAACTCTATGCCTAATGAATAATATAAAAAATAGAAGCTTATGATTATTTTGAAGAGTGAGAATTCTGTTTTGCAAGTTTTCTGCATACATTGAACTCACTGGGTTCCGAAGGAATTTGGAAACCTATCAGGTATTGATTGGGTTTGTTTATATTATGAGACTGATCCAAAGGCGACTGGAAGTTGTAGAAAGACTGGTTGGCATGACATAAATGTTATTGAGCTCCATGGCCTACTATGCTAATGACTTATAGGGATAGTTTTGGAGCATACTAACAGCTAAATGTTTCCACGAGTAAAAATATTTTTGATTGATTAAATCAAATTATTTTAGATTTTATTGATTACCCTATATGTTAATATTTTCAGAAATATTAGTTGGCCCCCAACCTGATTAGGTATGCAAATGAACAAGCCAAAGAAACAAATGAGTATTAATTTCAGTTTAATGAAGCATAAAATGGTCTGTTCTATTCTAGCCACTTTAAAGTGTATAGACTTCTTCTCAGGTAATCCAAGATGCTAGTTTCAAAGTGGCTTGAGGAGCACTGAGAGAGAACCATGTGCATGTGAAAAAGCCCAGTCAAAACCATGCTGTATACTTCCAACTGTTGTGTTTTGACCTTGATCTTTCCTTTGTCTAAAGTTGAATAATCCCATTGATTTAATTAACTATGCACATAAGTATATCAGAAACAGAACCTGTTATTCCTACCACTGACATGCAACTGTAACCGCACTCAGGAGTATGTATAATGAATAATAACAAAAGAACTCTTACCATCTGAGTAATTTTACTGAGGTCAAGACACAGATTTTCGTTGTTTTGATTACTGTAAATATGTGAAGTGTTACTATTTTTGAAGAATAAAAACTTATAGTGGAAAGTCCTTTTCCTCGCAATTTTGAGGGAATATCTAAAAAAAAGTTGACAATTAATTTTGATGAAGGTCAATTTTTACCTCAGATTATGCAAGATTTTGAAATGTCATGTTTCATTTTAAAAATGCTATTTTATGGGAAGTAACATTTTAATGGCATGGCTAAGATATTAATTTTTTAGCTACATTTTAGTAAATGTTTGCTGCCATACTTATGTTTTTTTTAATATCCTGAAATATTTTGGTTATAATCTTTTTTTTTCCTTTCCATTTCTCACCAGTGCAAGCAGTTTGACACCTTTACAGTGTTACATCTGTTTAAAATTCTGTTTCTACAGAAGCAGTTGAAAGGATACTATTGTTTAAAAATCAGATTTTATTTTACACTCCATTACAAGTTTTCAACCGTAGTAAAGCTCCTGCTGGATGTTCACCATTTTTGTTTTGGGTCCCATTCCATTTGACCTGCATATTCTTAAGCTTCCCATATCTAAATCAGTCCCTCCAACCCCCTAGCTACATTCAGCGAGGGCCACACATCCCCTTAGTCACATAGGCTAGGGACAGAAGTTACACATAAACAAGCTTAAGTGATCAGAAACTGGTTTAAACCTGTTAACAGAACAGAAGTTCAGCACACATAAACCAGTTTCAAAATGGCTGAAACTGGTTTAAGATAAACCTGGTTTGAATGTAGTATCAGACTTAACTGATTCCAGACAAACTGGTTTATGAAACTTCCATCCAAGACCCCTTCCTGGTTCAAGTTAAATCACAGCCCTTCAGCTTAGCATCCCAGCATGTTTTGCAGCCCTGGGTTGGGCTGTTAGCTGATGAGGGGGTGGAGGGTGCAAGACAATCTAGGCATAGAGCCCAGTCTGGGGGAGTGGGGAAAGGGCTTCCCCCCCCCCCGAGGCAAACCTTGGCTCAGGGCTGGGACCAGGAAAGGGGATTAAATATCCCTTTCCCTGCTCAGATTTAACGCTGGCTGTGATTGTGGACTACAAATCCCAGAGGCAGCTGGAAGCAGGAAGAGGAAGTGATGAGTAACCCTGCAGAGTCCTACTGTGATTTTTGGACTGCAAATCCCAGAGACCCTGGGGAAGCTGGAAGAGGAAGGTAGCACACAGCCAGAGAGCCATGCTCTAGTGCCCCTGGCTTCTGACCTGAGCCACTGTAGACATGTGACTGCATTTCCTGAATCAAAGGTAAATGTCTGTTCACTTTTGTTCCAGTTTAATCTATGCATCTTAGGCTAACCTACAGAGACGGAGGCAATTCAGCCTCATATTTCTTGACTGTCTGTACCTAGCCATACTTCACAGCCTGCATATCATGCCCTGCTCCAGGCATCCCATCCACTAAACTGAGTCAGCACCCCTGCTCCTTGCAGATGCTGCTGCATGCTCTTCCTCCCTATCAAATGGAAGCCCTACCTTCCATTGCATTGTGCCTTTGCTCCTGGACCATACAAGGTCCTCAAGTCCTCCCAAACCTTCTGATTATGGGTTCCAATGGCTGCACCACCATCATAAGCAGGAACCAGGAGGTGGAAGCTGGAGGAGAGAGGAGGGACCTGGAGACTCTGGTCGCAGCATCTGCAACTGGAGCAGTGGGTGGGAGTTGGGGAGGTGGGGAGGAAGAGGCAGAAGCTGGACTGGACACCTGAGAGCCTGGAAGGCCTTCCTGCTTGCCCTGTTTTAGGGGTGTCAGTCATGTGGCCTATACAGCCTGGGGCCTAATCTGAACAAGCCTTGGAGCCTATGACGTGGTCCTGTCTAGCAGGGCAGTCCACACCATCCCCATTCATCATGTGCAGAGCAAAGACTGGAGTGGGTTAAGCATATAATGCATATGGGGCTGGACTGGACACAGAGGTCAGCATGAAGAGTGCTGCATGTGGTGCCATGCAGCATTAGCTCTGTGTGCTGGCTCTGACCCACAGAATGGCCCAGAGACCCTCATCTAGCCTGTGAGGCTGAAGGACATTGACACTCCTGCATTATATTATGTAGGCAAGTTTGCTTCTGCTGTAGCTCTTCCCAGTTTGACTCCAGTGTGCCTTCTGAAAACAGAGGTTCATAAGGGAGTTTTACCTGGTGGCAGTAGCATCTATCTACAGGTGGCAGCTGCTGCTGCAGTTGCTGTTGCTGTGGGGTAAAATTGCCCTGTGTGCCTCAGGTTTCAGAGGGGACGTTGGAGTAAAACTAGGAAGGGCTGTGACAGAAGCAGCATGCCTGCCTGCATAATGTAATAATGTGATTCAGGCAAGGCTGCAAGCAGCTGCTTTTCAGTTCAGCTCCAACTGCTTTTCAGTTCAGCTCAGCTCAGTTGTGCCTCCTGAAAACAGAGGAGTGCAGGGCAGGAGGAACTGTTTCTGGGAAACACCATGCAAGGTCAGACCAGGAAGGGCTGTGCCAAGCATGTGCTCCTTCCACAGCCACTTTTTGATCTGGCTCTGGAGGAGGCGCGTGGCCCAGCTGCATCTGGCCACAGTGGTGATAGAAGTGACTGCGCTATGGCAACAACTTGGCCCATCCCTCCCCACTCTTGGGTCTTGCCTCTTTTCCTCCACATCACCAGAGTTCCCTATGTTCTGCCTGCATACCCCAGAACCTTGTCCCTGCCAGCCAGATGACCCTGGACTCTGTCCCTTACAGTCCCAGGGTTGTACCTTACAGTCCCAAGTATTGTAATTGCAATATTTACAATACTCATAATATATTTATATTCATTTCAAAATGGGATACTGTTACATTCAGAGAAGTTTTGGAGGAGTTCCTTGAATCTAAAAAGCTTGAGAAGTTTACTGGTTCATATGGAGGGAGAGATGAATGATTGTTATGTTACTTCACAGGCAGCCTTGCAAAACCCAGAGCAAGTCCTGACTAAGTAGTGACAAGTGTGAATGGTTCACTTGCTTATTTTCTATTAACATACCGAGAAGGCTTGCTGGTTTCTTGGGCTTATTCATATCTTAGGGAGGAATCTGAATGATGTTCATCTCTGGGTTCAACTAAGAAAGGGTAGGAAAGGGTAGATATCCTACTGGGTACCTAGAGGGATGAATTGTATTAGTTTGTAACACAAAGTCTCATCCTCTCCTAAATCAGAATTTTCCACTATTGATGCTGTGCTAATGAGCAGTGATTGATGTGGTGCTATTGCTACTGGAGATGTGCAACTTTTTTCCTAAGTACAGGCAGTCAAAAAGCCTGCAGCAGAATCAATTCAATCTAGGCAGCTTCCTCTAAATTAAATAAGTTGAACCGATAACCAACTGAACTGACGTTCAATTTTTAATTGGGAAAGGCAGGGGGAGGCCTGTACTGATCCTGGACAGTAGGCAGGCAGTGCTAGAGCCATTGCCAGCCCAGCCAAATGTCCCCAACTGCCTGTTGTCCCCCCACAGTGGGTTAAGGAGCTTCCTCTCTGGGTGCTGACCCGCCGTGGGGGAGCCTCCTCTTCAGGAGGTTTCCCCCAGCCTGGGTTCCCCAGCCCAGGCAGTCCTGGGTAGCCGGGGCAAAATTGCCCCCACATTCCCCTTCCCAGCTGCTGATTGTTTCAGCTGCTGCCATGGGAAGGAGAGAGAAGGAGGCCTCTGGGCTGTATGCCTGCCCATGCAACCCAGCATGGGGCCAGCGGGGAGCCCCTGCCTTGGGTTGCTTCCCCTCCCCCCAAGCCAGGGCCCCCAGCCCAGGGCAACCCCAGGAAGCTGAGGTGAAGACTTCCCCTCCCAAACCCCAAAGCTGCTTGCCCCTGCGAGTCTCAGGGATAGCCTGAGGCAGCCTCAGGGAGTGGACAGAAATTCTTCCACTCCCCTGCAACTAGTTTTGCCTTTAGGCAGGCAGCAGTTTAGGCAGGACCAGCTGCAGAGGAGCAGGAGAATTTCTCTCCACTCCTGATGCTGCCTGAGACTTGCAGGAGCTAAGACAAGCAGCTCCAGGGTTTGGAACAGGAATTCCCCTCAGCTCCCTGGGGCTGCCTCAGGCCTGGGGTGAGGGGAAACCCCCCAAGCCGGGAAACCCCCCAAGCCGGGCTGCAGGGGCAGGCACCTGACAAGGAGGACTGGGAAGGGGGAGGAGGGAAGGGCTGCCAGGGTCAAAAAATCTCCACCACAGGGGCTTTTCCTCCTCTCATGTGCTGTGTAGACCCTGGTGGGGGGGGAGGGGGGATCTGGTGGTCTGTTTCCCTGCTCTTCCCGCCATCTCTATGGGCTGACTGACACAGGCAGGAAGCAGGCTATAGAACAAAGGGGCAAGGCAGTTCCTGCTCTACTGGAACAGACAGCATAGCCCAAGGATGCAAAGCATGCTGGGATGCTGGCAGATTGTGAGTTACCTTGAACCAAGATGGGATCTGGGTCAGAATTTCCATAAACTGGATTGATCTAAATCAGTTAAGTCTGATACTACATTAAACCAGGCTTATCTTAAACAGATTTTGGCCATTTTGAAAGTGTTTTTTTTGCACTGAACTTCTGTTCTGTTGCAGGTTTAAACCAGTTTCCAGTTGCTTAAACCAGTTTGTGTAACTTCTGTCCCAAGATTTTTCGGTGAAAGTTTATTTGATCAGTTTCACCAAATTTCTCCTGGAAAAATATGGTGGGAGTAGTCTTTTGTCTCCTGGGCGGAGGAGAACAGGTTCTACTTCAGGTTATGAGCCTCCTGAGATTTATATCCACATTTCTTATGTCTAAGGGGAATGACTTAAGCATCAGAGTATATGGTAATTTGGGGCCAGATGTTCTCAGTCTTTTGATACATGTTCCATTTTGCAGAGGTAATTAACATGTACAGGAACAAGGACTTGGACTGAGATGTCTTACCTCCCACACAGATTTCTTAACCACCACAGCAGAGAGTTATTTCTCTTTCACACTCTTTCTCTGGTTCAGTTAATATTTATTTGTTCTATGCAATGTGGAACAGCTCCAGTAGATGCATTCCAACAGAGTGAAGAAGCTGAAACTTTACTGTGGAATCTGGATGTTCTTACATTCTCCTGAACTCTAGGAGGCCCAGCTTCCAAACAATTTTGCATCTGATTCAATGTTGGGACATGAACCAATATAGTAAT